CAGCTCTCAATTCTCCCACTGTAAAAAGGCTTATGCTTTCAACCGAAGTTTGAAACTGTAACTAGGAGAAACAGTGAAAATCTCTTAGAAAAATAATTTTCAACTGCCTTCTGTTTCGAGACACTGCTGGAAGTTGCCCAGCGAGGTACAGGCTCCTGCATGGGCAAATTCAAGCCTACAGGGTAGGCTACACGCTGTTTTTCCTGTCACCTCTTGGAGACCCTTTCGAGGCAGCCTGCCGGTTTAAAGCTTCGCCCAAAGTTTATGGGCAGCAGCACGTTCGTGCCAACCGAAAGGGCTGGAGTGCTGAAGCTGACCCGTCCCGGGAAGGCGAGGAGGGACGAAGGGATCCCCCAAAGGTCGCCGCTGGGGAGACGAACGCAGCCGCGTCCCTGCCCCGAGCTGCGGGGCCGAGGCTGTTGGGGCTTTATGGATCTTTGCCAACATAAATTAAAATTGTAAGAATTAAACCAGTGATAATTGTCAGCAGTTTCACTTTGCATAACTTCCTTACCTGGTACTGCAACAACACAGTATTCCAGCTATAAAAGTGTTTTATCAACAGTTAATTAATCCTCAACACACATACTAAATACCTTAGTTTTTCTATTCTGGTTTTGAATTTTGGAAATTTTGCCATTTCAAACGAGTAAAGCCAAACATTGCTAAAATTCCTTGAGAAGTTTGGTTCTCTAGGGAAATAGAAGTGAGGCTATTAGACAGTGGTAGCATTCATCAACAATGAAAGAGAATAAAATCTTCACTCAAGGGAGGGAAAAGCTGCTGGGGATAGACTTTAAACAGGTCTTTACTCCATTTTCTGCTCTGTCAGGTATTCCAAAGTTCACTTGTACTTCAATGGTGACAATTTATCCTCCTTCCAAGCACAGCGAGAGTTACTGCCTCTTCCTGTGCAATAGACTGCACTTTGCTTGGTTTATTTGACTGGGTTGCTTCTGTCCCTTTGGGCATTTTACGGGGAGGTATGAATGTGTGTTCTAGCCCTTTCTACCTACATACAACACCCAAGCTCTCCTGTTGTACCTCATGCTGTTGGGGAAGCAGGAAGATCTTTCAGGGTGGCAGCTGCCTGAGTGGATACTGCTGATGTTCTCAGCTGTCATGATCTAAAAACTACTCAGAAATACCAGCTTCCTGTTTTATGTGCAGGTTTCATTTTGAAATCAGTTGAAAAGGGGAAGCTTTTACAGACTGATGCATAAAAATTTAATAAATCACAAGACAATACTTCTGACCAAAGGCCAGCCAGACAGGGTAGGTGTATATTTGAAATAGTTTATTCATCTATCAGTTACTTAAAAAAAGAATGTTTTAGAAGATTAATGTCTAGAATCAGTTTTTAAGAAATCAGCAACCATGGAAACTGGCAATGAAGTTGATAAAAAAAATAAGAATTTTTCGGAAAATAAATATTAGTTCCATTCAGTGGAGTCTTTCCATTGATTTTTTTTTTTTTTCTTTTAATGAAGCTTCAAATAAGACTTCAAGCTGGAAATGTGGATAAATATGAAAAATAAAATAAAGCTACTCCAATGGCATGTTTTTATTTGACTCCACTGGAAAACAAAACCAACAAAACACCACTTCACAATCTGTTTCAGTGACTTCTGGAGATAGCTCTCATTATCTTAATAGTGTAGCGGAAGATAAAATTATTGTTTATTAATTTTCCGTATTCTGTGTGTATGAATTTATGATGGCCTCTTTTTTTTTGTTTTACCTTTGGATCTGTCTCTATCATACATATCGCAAACAAATTTGTTGTGTGATGCATGACTTTGATTGTTGAATTATTCTGCCCACTATACAGATGTCACGGCTTTGATGTAGATCATATTGGAATCAGTAACAGGACTTCCCCCAGTGGCAATAGCAGTTGGATTCTGCTTTCTGAAGTACTCTTCAGACAATGTTTTACTACTATTTAAAGCAGTTGTAGTGTGACAGAAATTTTTTCCCATTTGTGTTCTCACTGTACTTTATCTACCTCTCTCTTCCACCATGGTTTGCTTCTATTATAGGGCACAACTGGCACATCCATATCCAGCAATGTCGAAAGGCCCACATATGTCCTCTAGTGTTCTCAGAAGCTGTGTGTTTGATGCCATGTAAGCAAGTAATGTAGAATGTCCAAACTTGTGTCAGAATTATTTAATGACAGCTTCTGGAGTTGCAGAACAGTGAGAAAAAGCTCAAGTAAATGCTTTAACAGTGTTCCCCAGAAGAACATGAGAGAATCTGTTTTCACAACTCTTCCTGATGTATGAATTGCACTGATTTTCATGGCCTCTCCATTCTCTTGTAGCTTTAGTGCTCCAGTTTCTTATTTTCACAGAAATAATGTCTTTCCCATCAGAGCTTTCTGAACTAGAGATCTAGTGTCATCTGTTAGAGTTGTTACAAAACACTGGCCATTTTGAACCATCTGTTCTTTTAACAGCTGTGCAAAAAAGGTGATGGTTGGTGTCTTCAGACTATTATGTCCATGTACCTTGTAGTACAGATACCATGTAAAGATGTACAGATATCAGATTCAGATAAAGGTAGCACAGGTATCAGGTACAGATAAAGATATCAAGTGGATTAACTTCTGTTTTCTCCAAGACTTTATGTCTCAGTTTTCAAGAGAGGTCATAGTCATCTGGCCTGCCATGCTCTCCACTTGAAAGAATTTATAAAAGAAAACCTTACCTTCAGTTTGATGGGACTGAAGAAATTATACTAAGCATGAGGGAGCATTGTGCAATTTTGTTTATGGGAATATGAAAGTTTAATTATTCTTCACTGCCATGACTTGCATCTTCGTCTTTTTGCTGAATTGTGTTTATTTTACTACAGTTACTTCTAGAAGAAGCCATCCATTCAAGTTCTGTATGTCAGGAAGTTAGTGATTTTGTGAATTGATCTGGGCAGAAGCTATTGCCCACCTGGATGGTTTACTGCTTGAATCAGTAAACAACATAAGCCCAAATGATGTAAGTTAATTTCTGTTACACTGTGAAGATGAGTATGTGAATGCTGTTAGGACTAATTTTTTTCCCAGCAAATACGTATGTTGAGTTTCAGATTGGTATTGGTAATTACACTTTTGATACTCCCGCACTTCAACAAATCCATGCTTCAGAAATTTTTATCTCAAAATTTGCTTTAGAATACTGACACTAAAACCATGCTGTATTCCCTAGGGCAGATGGCTGTCTTTTCCATTTTATAGCAATTTACACAATTCTTATGGCATGATTCTGTCCATGAGATAAGTCAAGTCACATAAGAGGACAGTCGTAGAAGGCAGTGCCTAATAGCAGATTACTGTTTCCTGCCAGTATGTTTCAACCATACTTGTCAGCCATTCTCTTGTAATGGAAAAACAGTTTTAATTATAGTCCCTGTCTGCATTATTAGATGACACATGTAATTAACACATGGCTACTCTTGAAAGGCTTTGGATATGACAGCTATTATTAAGAGTAACTGTCTATCCATCCATTTATTAAGTCTGGCTCATTTAATCCCACTGTCCCACATACCTCAATTCTTTTGCTTTTGTCTCTAGACGTTTAAGAAGATAATGTTTATTCATGTAATTTAAGTTCATTTAACAAACAGCCAACAAAATTACTGTTTAAGATGAGAGTTTTGTTCACCTCTGTTATCACTGAAGGCAAAATTACCTGAAGATGATGTTGGTTTACATTGGAAGAGCTTTGCCAGTAAAAGGTCTACAGTTCCGGAATGACTTCATGAAACTCACTTTTGATGCTTTTTATTTGATGAATGGTAGAAGAATATCCCTTTCATTTTTTGATGTAGAAGTAATACACATTTATGTAGGTTCTGGTGCGCACTACATAAATCAGCAAAGACATAGGATATGTTGTTTGTAGTAAATGCTTTTTATGAGGTGCATTTTTTTATATATATATATTAAGATTCATAACATTTCAGGTAGGTGAAATTTGATAAATAATGTTCAATCATTGGTACCTTTTGCAAGAGCTGAACCATAGGCCTAAAAGATTCTGTATCTCATGCATTGATCTGTAAGGATATGATAAAACTGTTTCACTAGCTCTTCCCACTTATAATTAATTTGCAAGAGAAATAGCATTTGTACTGGAAAAAAAAGAATCTCTGGATTTTTTGAAACACAATCATTACAAGTGGGTTGCTGTTCAGTTAGATTAACCCTCCATTTTTTTCCCCAGAGACATTTGTGAGACAGAGACCAGTCTTGATTCAATACTGAACTGCAGTAAGACATTGCTATGCAGCCTCTAATGTCTGCATGTTACTATCTGTTGCCTGTGGTTCATGTAAATCAAAAAGCATTTTGCCTTTTTCCTCCTGCCTTGAGGAGACAAAATAATACAGACTATTCTTTGAAAAATTTCCACTTGAGAAAAAATATACAGATACAAGCAAACCTATATCCTGTCTGTCTGGATAAACTGTCTAAAATTAATCATTACTTCATAAATAGGAATTCTACTCTGCTTTATGTATTTTATGATGAACTGGTGCACTTAGACATTTAGTAAGAAATTTATTATCCTCTATTTTCTGTTATTTCATCAATGCATTGAAGCTGACAATATGAATCAACAAGATGTTAAGGAACATTATCTTTCAATCTGATTCATATTTCATTTTACTTCAGGGATTTTATTTTATTAACTTTTTAGCTCTGCTTGAGGTACTTTGCAGGTAGCCCAATATAAGGGCAGAATAATATCCAACCTCTAAATACTGTTTTCATATCCTAGCTGCAAGAAAATATTTTGTGGATATTGCACTAACAAGTGTTAAAGTTCTATTTCACTGTAGAATTAAAGGGGATTCATTTTCAGTATTTACTGCTTTGTGCTCTTTCTGCAATTTTGCAATTGCTTTCAGTTTAATAATTTCTTCTTCTAAAGGTGAGCAAAGCAGAAGGTATTTTACTCCAAGTAAAGAATGCACTGGATGAGGAAGCTGGCGAGGTGGCACATCACAAAAGTGAAATAGACTATAAAGTTTCAAAAAAACTGTTATCTAGAAAACATGACCTGTGTCAGGTAACTTTTCCAGATTGCTAGTAAGCCGTGATCTGCAAATCAGATGTGACATCTATTATACATCAGTTTTGAACATGCTGACTAGATAAATTGACAGAATACTTTGCACAGCTAGTCATCATGAATAGAGTAACACTTGTGGGGGGAAGTTCAGTGTTTTGAACAGGAAGACCAGTTGCTGTCCAGATGGTGACAGGAGTTTCCATTGCAACCAGCATTGTGATGGCATCTTCAGCTGGATCAGATGAGAATCACAGAACTGTTATCATCCAGCTGATCCTAGGACTACTCCAACATATATGTACTCAGTTCCTATTGATTATCTTAAACTATATATAAAATACATATAAGCTGTTTTAACTATATGCAAAGACTGTTCTGTGTACCCATTGGTGCAGATGGATGCAGAAACAGTTTCTAGAGACTACTTAAAATGATGGATCTATGTGCAGCTGGAACTGTTCCTGCATCTACAGCACAAACTGCTTGGGGGAGTTCTCTGGACTGCCTGGATTGCCAGTGCAAGAAGTCAGTTGGCACATGTGAACAGATAACATCTTTCAGTTGGTGTAAGCATAGCTGGCCTGTCTAGGGAAATCTCCAGGATTCTTCCACATAGCTCCCTCTCAGCTCCTGTATTAACTTAGTTCTTTCTTTTTTAAGCTGGCTAGGAGTTCAGTTAATCAGGAGTTCAGTTACTGTGCTGCAAGTCAGTCCATTGTACCATCTTTGCAGAAACTAGCTGGGAAATTCTCAGCTCACCAGGGGGATTGCCAACGAGGTGTGCTGAGCACGCATACAGATGGAGCCCCTGTGTGCAGCAGCAAGAGCTGACTGCTCTGTAAGGACAGGTGGATGGGGCTGGGGGTGAAAGAGAGCAAGGCCAAAGCAGTTACACCACTGACAGTGACTCTAGTCCCACAGTACCCAAAGAGCAGGTGACAGTGACTGCTGGTGATAGTAGCCAGGGTGAGTCCAGACTGCCTCTTTATTGCTTCTCTGGTAGAACTGAGGCCAAATCAGGAACTCGAGTCCACCGAATCAGGGTCAGAACCTGGGAGGTGGGAGGCTGGATCCAGGCATGTTGGCAACATAGCTCAGCCAAGAGACCAAAGGCAAGACCTTAAGCTCAGAGGCATCTCTTGAGCAAAGGAGAGGCAGGAGTCTGCTGAGTCTTCTCACAGGTCTCAGCTGCACTGTCAAAACTGGCCCTGAGCCCAAGCAGCCAGGCCCTCTGGAGAGGCAGGAGGCAGTCAGCAGTCAGAGCTCTGACAGCTACATCACTCTTGTAACTATAGAGGAAACTTGGATTTCCTTCTTGTATTGCAATTATAATGTAAATTCCATAGATTCTGCCAGATATCCAGAAGTCAGTCTTCTGTAAGTTACAAAATGTAGAGGCTCCTTCGTGTTCTAAAAGAATAAATGTTAATAGTGCCTTTAACCTTGGAATTCTATTCATAATTAAAACCTTCTGACATTTCTGATATCAAAAACTTACTGTCTCATACAGCTTTCCCATGGCTTATTGAGGGTGTAACATTAAATATTTTCAAAGTTAGATGTCCTTCTTTCTCCCAATCTGAGAAAATTACATGAGTACCTTGTGCTGCTGCCTTAGCTGAATAGTGGCCTTGCAGACAAAATAACTCTAGTTATCTTTCAATTGTGTGGAAAAAGGTGTCATTCTGGGAAGTTATTCAGCAGATTTGCCTATAATTCTATTTAATGTTCCTGACATTGGTTTCTAACTGGCCACCCTATCTTTCTGATTAATAACATTTTAAAATGGGTAAATATGGAGAAATTAAAGAGAAGGTGGTTCTAAAAAATAGAATAATCAATGGTTAGATCATTAGTACAGGGAAAAGTGAAGTGGGCTTCAATTATACATACACAGTCACTCCAGGTTTGTTTTTACTGAGTGAATATGCTGTTAAGCAGCTAAAGTCTAAACACACCTAGTAACTACTGGTTACTAAGTGGTTATACCTGAATATATACTGCTTGAGTAAGGAAGGAGCACTATGCTTGGAACATGCAAACTTCTGTTTGTCTTCAGCAAAGTTCAGTAGTTGACTTTCACTTGATGTTCTGTCTAAAGTTTTAAGTCACTTACAATTAACAGAACAATAGTTTATGTGACTCAGTTCCACCTTACAGTTCTTTGTGACAGAAACAATTGAGAAAAGTTTTGGGAAATTTGCTGTTACCTGAACCCAGAGGACTACTCTTTGTAGGTAGCAGTTGTCTATGTTAAGGCTTGTATATGAATTCATAAACTAATCGTAAGGACAGGATTTTCCCACAAAACTTAGACTCTACTTTTACACAATAGCTAAGCATAATGACATTGCAAGAACTGGAGCATATTTATTCCATTTGCATTTGCCATCTTAGTTTTTAATCTAAATACAATTTTTAAAAAACCCTCAACTGCAGTAGAAGCATGCTGAAGGATCAGGGTTCATGAAAGGTTCTTAAAAAAGACAACCATCAAGCAAAACAAAGCAAAAAAACTCCATATAAAAAAGTTCATATAGCAACTTCATAAATTAGGATGGAATATACCTCTAATCCTCAACAAAAGAAATCACACATTTTGAATAAAATGTTTGAAACTACAAGAGACTTAGTCCCATTTACAAATATTTTATCATTTAGGAACTCAAAACTTGACTGAAGTTCACTGAATCTTGAAAGCATAAAGGTTTGATTTTTAAACAGGGCTTCATGCTTTTACTTTTACAGGGACTACCTAGTTTCAGTATCTAAATCTAAAATTGTGATCCTGAAGTCCTTTTCTCAGTTGCTTTATAAATCTAGAGGTTCCTCGCTGTGTGACAGTTAAGAATCCTAGAATCCTAAAAATATCTTCTTAGTATTTCATAGGGTATCACTATCTTTACACCATTAAGCAACTCAGTCCTTAGTCTGTCATCTGAGGAGGTATATTCTGAGAAGCAGACTGCTTAAGCAGAAGGCAGGTGGTGAGCACATTGTCCTCAACTCAGACCTTTACACAGTACCTTTACACAGAACATTCAGATGGTGAGCATAAAGGTAAGAGGTTGAGGGAGAATATGAATCTTTTGGTTTGTGTAATCACAAGAAAGGAAGGACATGAATCTCGGTGACAGCTCTGTATGTAAAATGCATAAATCTTGCTGGAGGTGGAATTGCAACCCAGGTTTTCCTCCTCTCAAGTGTCTTTCTTAATTGGGAGTTACTACCTCCAGATAGCCTGAACTGTGATGCTAGGATGTTTGTCGTTCAGCCAATACAGCGAGGTCTCTGAGTATTCTCAGTAAAAGGATCTTTAGTAGTATCAACATGGTAATGATTAAGAAGCAAATCAAGATTTATTAATGACTAGCAGGACTTAATTATTAACCAATGTAAACATTTAAAAATTCAGTAAAATATGATTAAAATATTGATTTAACTACAGATTCAAAGATTACAAGATTCACACTAACTTACTATATGGTACCTTATACATATATACATGCACATTCACAAACCCAAGACGTACAAACACAGAGTGGAATATGTACCTGTAAGAGTCAGTCAGAAAATCAGCATTGTCTCAACATCATCATCAGAGACATGGACAGTGAGGAACCTGACAGCAGTCTGCTTGGAGCGCAGTTGCCTATCCCAAGAGTGGAATGTGGTGTGAAGGCTCCTGAATACAGAACTGTGTGGTACAAAGAGTGCTGTGCTGTTCTTTGGTACCTGGACCTGGCTAGAGCCTTTAGACATAACCGCATAGCTTCTGTCAAAAAGATGGATCGCAACCGTTACCATAGCATCAAGGAAGAAATCATGAACTTTAGATGAACTTTGCTTCGTTATAATACCAAAACACACCTCCTGGTCGAAGGTTACCGGCCTCCAAGACTGACCACACCTCAGACACTCCCCCCTGCACTTGTATGATGGCCTCACTCAAGAAAGGCGGAGATATGATAATTGAATTCTGAGAAGGGCGGAGACTCCTGAGGCAGAGGTGGAGCAAGGTGTGTTATTAAGCATAAAAAATGACTTTTGAACAACGAAAATTGGAAGCTTCCCCACCAAGGACCATGATGATTGAGGACACAGCATCAGCTGGACCCGGGACCATTAGGATGTCGTGAGATCAGCGGTGGTAGCTATAACTTCTCTCCCTCCTCTCTCTAAACTTTACTTTTCTCCTTTCTTTCACCCATCTCTAACTATCATGTGCCGCTTCACGGGCAACACAATAGTTTCACTGTTTGATCACTGCTATCCCCTGTGGTGTTGGTCACCTTAATTTTACACTTTTGAGATCATAGCAAATGAACCGTCAAAAGTCCACCAAGTGGACCATGACAGTATCCACACTCATGAAAATAACTGTGTATACCCAAACACATCGGTAAGCAGAGAGAGTGTGTGAAAAAGAAGCTAGCTCACAGTTTAAATTTTCCTTGAGTTTAGTATTGTGATTATTTACTCACAATGCACTGGCATTTCTCAACGGCTGACAATTGAGACTCGAGCAGGTCAACTTCACCCTGGCCTTCCATTGGCTCTATCGGTGGCCGGACGGTACCTTGAGGAGTTGATACCTCAAAGGGGTCCCAGTTTAGGGGAGATGCTGGTCACTGGCCCACTGCAGTCCAGGAGAGCTCAAGAGGTCTCACTTGGGGTCGCTATTTATAGAGTCCAAGACAATTAACCTTTGTCAAATACTTATCACTCCAGCCTATGTCTTCTTCCAGTTGCCAAGAACTTGATGGCTGTGCAAGTCTGTTACTGCTGTCCCTGGACCACATCCCAGGTACAGGTGTACTGGGCTATTAGGAGGTGATAGGCTGTTATAAGTGATATACTTCCCAAGTGATATGGAGAGCAGGGCCAGGCTCCTCAAAGGGTGTCTTAACGCTCTGTTTGCTGCCATTAGCAGTACTTACCTCCACAGGTTGGTGTGTGGCCCAGGAGAGGGGGAGGAGGGTTTTTATGTCACATCTTTGAATTTGGATCCCAAAATGTGAAATAAGATAATTTTTATATGACTTTAAGCATGAAAGCACATTTTTTATTTCTCCCAAATGTCTAAATAGATCTTGAACTTAATGACTAAGTTTTTTATATCTCTGGTGATTGTTCTCTGCTATTTTTTTTTAAAAATTGTCACCCAAATTGCCAGGAAAAAAAAAAAGTTGAACATTATGTTGAGATTCAGAATAAGATTTAATCTTTTAGCAGTGTAGTGATATTAAATGCACTTTCTAAGTCATGAGATCTCAAAGATTATTTCAAATTTCTTGCAGGGACTGTCCAGTGAGAATTTTACAAGTGTATCAGGTTAGCACAGTAAGTGAAACAGCAGAATTTCTGAGTAGTCTTGGAAACATTCAATCCTTATTCCATGTCTCATGTGTGCAACTTCACGGGAATTCTTTCCAGGTAAATATTTACATTCTCTTTTTGTGACACTGAATCAGGCTTAACTGTATTATTAAATATATTTAAAACTTTAAAATATTTTTTTAATGAAGCTCTTTTGCATTACATTTAACCTGTTTTTACTGTTAACATTTATATGAACTTCCATATACTTATGTGGACCTCTGGAAGGAAAATTAATCTTTTGTAACAATAAATTTGATTACTCTCTAGGTAAGTTAAACTTGAGATGCAGCTATTTGGATATGATGATTATGAGTGTGGTTTAAATTCAGATGAAAGATGACAAAATGGAGAGAGTGGGAGAACAATGGCTGTGTGGAAAATTTATTCTGTTTTAGGAATGAATTGCATTGACAATGTCTTCCTTCCACTTCTCTACATTATTTCCCCACAACTACTGTATTTGTCATATTTTTAAATTACCTTAATTTTCTGGAATAACAGAATATTTAGTTCTGTGACTAAATACTATGGATTCGCTCAGACATGGTAAGAATGCTAGAATAATATAACCTCTAGTAACCTGACATATTTAAATCCTCATCATAGCATGTATGCAGTGAATACCAGCCACTGAAAATTTGACAATGTTTTAAAAAACGTACCTGATATATAATGTCAGAATTAAAATACCTCGAAAATCATATTAACATCCGTTTCCTTATACTGCAGATTTTAATTGTAAGTTACAAAACTATTGAACTTATTTAAATATTGTGTCTTTTTACATTCTTTATTTGGAATATGTTTTCTGTGGGCATCAATCAGTATGTCTCATATCAATCATTATGTCTCATAAACAGTCTAAGGATGGTATCTTTACACTAATAGGTTTGCAAATCAAAAGTTTCTAAGTATCCATTCCCCAGGATTCTACCTTTAAAACTCATAGTTGGGGGGATTTTTTAATAAAAAAATTTGTACAGTTTTTTTTTTAAATTAAATACGGTGCAGGTGCTAGAAACTGTAGAACTGCTCATCTAATAACCAAAAAAATATTTTGAATGTTTGGCAATGAATCTGGAAAATGCACTGGTTTTCTGCTGAATGAGAAAAGCTAACAGTGTTTATTGCTTATGTAATTAGTGTCTTGGTGATTAATATGACTTTAGGATTTATTTTTTTATTAATAGACTTTATTTTCTTTGAGTGCCTATGGATGGTTTCTGTAAAGTGTATTTCATTTTAATCCTCTGTGGTTCATAATTGCACAACATGTGTTAGCCCACATGCTCTATGCAAAAGTATTTTGTACTTCATTCATTGTGTGACCCTTTTTTTTTCTCTAGAGGACTCCTAATGCCAAAAGTGATTGTTGAAGATCATGACCTGGTAAGAACTGACATTGGGAACCTGGGTAGTGGCAGTTACTTCAGTGATTCTGTTAGGTTTGAGTAACAACATATCTCTTTACTTTATCCGTTGTGTATTCTTTTTATTTTTTTAAATTAAGCTGATAAAATGATTAATACTTTTAAGGTAGTTTAATTGCAAAGTTTATTCCTGTCCATCTGTTCAGAAATGTGTATCCTTAAATTCCTATGATGTTTACATTAATATAAATTTTAATAAAATGTGTATGATCTTTCTTTATATATAGCGCCAATAAATATTCTTCACCCTGTGAAACAGATGGAACCCAGCTCCTGGCAGTTTGTGGTGTGGCACTTGAATCCTGCTTACATTTGAGTGGAAGAGATTATTCATTAAATAATGCATCATCAGGTTATGATATTGTGCATGGAGTCCATAAAACAGCAGACATCTCATCAGACTTTGAGGTACTGATCCCACAAAATCAGGAACTTGAAGTTCTGGATTTATTATACCACTGATACATAACAGAATGAATGTAGCCTGCATTTCAGTTCAGACTAAATCACTAGACAGTAATGCATAAAATCACTTTTGTCTGGCTTGCAGCCTGTTAAGTGCATATAAAACTTCTAAGCCTCTAAATTGCTATTTGTAAAGAATTCCTGCAAGAAAATAATACTTAAATTTTAAGATGTAAATGTTGTATTTTATTATAACTGAATCCTCGCATAAATATCTGATCTGTGATATTTATATTTTTATTTGTAAGCAATGCTACTTTGTACGGAATAAGAAATCACTACCATGGAAGGTTCATTGTTTTGCAAATGAATCCAGCTGATAAAAATTCCTGTCCTTATAGGTTGGTACTCTGAGGCGGGGATATCTCTAGTGGCACACTAACAAATAACACTAACAATGGCTGTCTAGATATCCACCAGTTTTTTACTTTTTTTGTTCTTAGTTATTATGGGAATGATTGTGCTTTACAGAGAATAGGAAATGTAAGGAGTGTAGAGAATATGAAGTAAGAAGATAAGAGATGCAAGTGGTGGCAATACAGAGAGGTTAGGGGAGTGAAAATTAAAGCTGTCAGATCCTATTATTTTTCAAAAGTGATGTGTCTTTTTCGGTTCACCTCTTAATCAGTTTACCTTTTTTTAGATATTATCTACAACTTCGTTTTTATTGTAAACACCTTTCTTTGTTTCTACCAGGATGATTAATTTGTTGTATATAAAACCTGTCAGGTTAAAATTAGATATGTTGTTAAATTTTGTCTTGCTGAAGATAAATAAAACCATGTCAGCCTGCAATTGGGGTGGAACTGGAGCAAGGTAACAATGAGCCAGAGTCATGATGTCATTTACAGCATGAAATAAGAAATCTTTTCTGTTTGTACATTGACTTGCTTGCAGAGTTACCTAAATACTTATCAGAACCCTTTTTAGAGTACTTGTATAAAGATAACATAATAAAAAATAATTTGTAGTTTACTTGCAGACGTTACCAAATTAGTGATTACCATGACATCTGTGTAGCATCTGTTTAACAGATTTCCAATAGGCATAATTACCAACAGTTGCAACTCCTCCTGTCACAGTGTGTTTCAAGAGAAGCAAAGGAAACACTTTTGCATAAATCATCAGATGGTCTTTAAATAATTAAAATGCAAGGTTCTAAACAAAGACCTTGTAAGACCTTAAAGAAATACCATTGATCCCTCAGACAGACAGCCTACAGATCAGCAATACAACACAAGTAACTGAGTGTTACTTCTGTGTTCTGAATTGCATAAACATAGGCTGTTGATACAGGATTAGTTTTGATCATCCTTCCCAAATGTATATTTCAAAAAATATCTTTAATCTTTTGTAAACTCTTTGTTTTGGCTATACATAATCAAATGCAAATCTTTCAAATCCTATAAAAGACTGTCTTCAGGACAGACTGGGAAATCCTGCCCCTCTGGAAGTTGTTTATATCAAGGCAAGGATAATCGACTTTGTAGCACAGGTAGAGTGTGCTATTTATTGTCGTCTTCTACAACTCTGCCCAAAAAAATTAATCTGTTTGTTAAATAGTGTTTTAGTCAAAACGTTACTTAGTGTTTAGTTAATTGCAGAATAAAAGACAATTCAGTCTCTAAATGAAGGGAAGTCCTGAAACTGAGTGGAAAGAGTTTTTATTCTTAAAGATATATAGTCAAATGCCAAAAGCTCTTCAGTTAGTGAAAGGCTTGGCTTTATTTTTAAGTCTGTTTTGTGCCTATGTGTAATCAAGTCACCATTGTAGAGAAACTTTCTGCAGCAGTGTACACATTCTGTTCCCCTTAAAAGATTGTCTTAGCAATCTTTGCATGCTGCATCATAAACCAGTGAGAAATACCTAGGATGATTAAAGGCTTCTGGAAATATATTTGTGGCTTGGTTTTGACTGTGGTTGGACAACCTAAATTAGCTGTCACAAATAAAATACCAATCAGTACAGAATAACTTGCTATTCTAACATGAAAATTAGCTAACAAAAGTTACCCAGGCAGGGTAAAGTAAAGACCAGCTTGGTTTTTAGTACATATGCCCTAAGAACACATTCTGTGAAGTCACGGGTCTTTTCCAGTTCTGGGGCATAATTCCACAATCTCCTCCTTCAACTGCATCCTGCCTAGAGCAGTCTCGCTGATGCTAAAGCTGTGGCTTCACTGAGTTCTGTCACATGTGTGTCTCTGCACAAGAATTCATATTCAGGGGGTTTCAGTGCCAAAATAGCTTCATAAAAGCAAGTAATGTTTTTTATATGTTGCCAAAGCCTTAAAAAAGCAAGCAGGGGAAAACAGGAGAGAAAAGAGTTTGAAAGAATTGTCAACAGATAAGTCTGTGCTTACACTATTCTGACACTCACAACTGTTGTCTGATCAGTCTGATTCCTTTGAAGAACTATTCTTCTCATGAGGGATTGTTGTGGGGGGCATGGTTTGGTTTGGGTTTTTGTCTGGTTTCCTATGGGATGTATTACTATCCAGTGATATCTGTTCTGTAACCTAGAAGGAACTAAAGGAACTGATGCCTCAAACATTCATTAACACCGAAAACATCAAAGACAAATTGTGGCCTTTGTGATTAAGTCTAATGAATCAATTATCTGCCTAGGGAAGCACAAGAGTGTATGGAAGGGTGCACGGCTCTGCTCCCTTGCAGTTTTATAAACCTCAAAGGGAGGAGATGTAGATTGTAAAACCATGTGTTTGGGTTAATGCCTGCACCTTAATTTACAACTAGAGCCTTGAAGAAGAGCTAAAAGACTGGTAAGAGAGCTAAACAGCCAACCCCAGATGGAGCTAATGACTGCCCAAAGAACAAAAACTGAGGGAAAGGTAAAGGTGGTAAAGGGAGATTGTGACCACAGGCTCAATTGGAAAAAAGGGTTAATGCACCCCATTCCTCCTCAGCAAGTGCAGAACCCATGCTCCATCTTTTTCTCTGTCTCTCATGCAAATGAGTTCATGGAATACCTGCCTCTCTTTGTGTAGTATGCTAATCAGTTGATAAAATGAACTTAAAAGGCTACAGAAAACTGTTGCTGTGTGTGTACCCACCACCCAAGATTACCAAACCTGAGACAACACTGGATCCTTGGGTGGTGATCCAAATTTCTTTGACTCTCTCTGTCTCCTTTCTTTTTGTTTTCTTTCTTTTCTTTCTTAAAGATTTATAAGACACCATGTTATTGCCTATCAACTTTTTCCAAGTTTAAGCCATTTCTACCACAAGTAAAACATTTTAACCAGTCATTTGGTGGTGTTTCATCTTAATTTAACCTGAAGGGATTTATGACTCTGGGCTCCCAGTCCAGGTTGTATCCATCAAAGCTGAAATATAAGGCTGAGGTACAGAGCACAACCCAGAAATTATCAGATGACAAGGGACAATAAGAATGGCAGCAGAGGGGAATGAGGAATTGCTAGAGTTTTGTTATGACACCAGGAAGCAAACACAAGAGTAGATGTGAGAAGAAAGTCAGATACAATTGTTACTGATTTTGCTATCAACTGAAATTATGTTTGATTTTAACATGAGTATGGAATTAAGAGGTATTTTAGTAGAAATTATTTGTTCACATTTATTGCACTTTATACCAGCAACCAAATGCTACTCTAGGAACGTTTAGAACCTAGGTAACAAACATAAGTTGATTTATAAACTGATTTATGGTGCATACATAGAGCTAGAAGAATGCATGTAGCTGTCAAGGTCTAGGAGTAATGGGAATTGAGGAAAACCAACTGTAACAGCTTGCAAGTACCTGCCAAGAAACTGTGAACTTAAGCAAAAGGTAATTCCGGCTGGAGGAGATCGCGACCACCGACTCATGGACCACCTACCCGTATTACACCCCAGACCCATTTCTAGACATAATCGGAAATAGGAGGATGTTGATGATTTCCAAATAATTATATGTTTATGCATGAATACTTATTGAATATGTATGAGTAGGTTCTATATAAGATGTATGATTTTGGTGCTTGGTGTGCGTTGTTGGTGAGACAACTCCCCTGCACACCCAGCCATTAATAAAGACGTGTCTGCTTACCTATATCACATTGGTGTCGATAAGTTCTTTATTCCAAGTTTTCAGTAACACAATCTGCTACCACAGAGACAGAAATTCTATCATTAAAAGACGGATACTTTACTTGTAGAAGTAACATAGGCTTTTCCAAACATCCCTTTTAGTACAGAGTAAAAATAAATCATTTTTTTGGTAGAGATTTACTCTTCCTTCTTGTTTAGTCCCTACTGGCTTGAAACTATTATAGACATATTGCAGTGGTGACTTCTTTTGTAGGCAGTAGCATGAGAGTTCCACTTCTGCCAGTAAACCAACCTTTAGAAGGTCATGTTTTACTCTTCTGGAAGAGATTTGATTAATGATTTAGAGATTAAAAATTCTATGGCTCCTCGCATGTTTCTGGAGGTATCTATTTGTCAAGCACTCATGAATGTTATACTTTCATTTCTAAGGTATAAATAGATGTTCCAGTTCTGGCATGTCTACTGATGTGTTCTAGTGCAAAGCAGTTCAGCTGTTACACTTATTGATGTTTTAATCACATTTTAA